TCAAGCAGCTATCATACGTTCTGCCTTTAAGCGATAGAAATATCAAGCGACAACACGATGAAGTATTGTGCTATGCGCAATGCTTCCATCAAGATGCACAAGGACGACGAGACGCGTGCATCCATCATTCACAAGATTAACGATGAGATCTTGCCGTGCTTGAACAGCATCTTTCGTGATTATCACGATAAGGATTTGAAGATGTACACTGCTGTTTCATTTCAAGTTGACAATGACATCAAGCAAAGTGACGCGGACCTCATAGAAAGTGCAAAGCAGATCTGTGAGAAGCACGTCAACGTGAATTTTGATGAAGATACCACAATGGTGAACTTCATCAACCAAAAGCAAGATGCTAGCTACGAAAGCCGCATTCGAAAGAAGATTGGAAAAATTGCCGAGCTTCCTTTGGAGATCGTAGCTACATTTGTTTCTCTCTGTGAGTTTTTTAACAACATGGGATTTCAAGCAGTCCTAACATTTTCCTTCACGAAGGAAAATGAAGATTGTTGCATCCACTTCGTTTCAAACGGAGTACCAAAAACAGGTGCTATCATAGGATATGGCCTTGGAGAAACAAATTTGATTAACGACTGTCATCATGTCGTTTACGAATCTACGATGTTGTCCAACCGCAAAGAAAACTTTGTGGTTTTGTTGAAAGAAGCAACATCTTTCATTGGACAATGTACCACTGCGATGCTACACAGTACCATCGAAAAGCTAGACATGCATTTTGTTCCGACGATGATCACTGGTGAAAACAAATTACCGTTGGGCGATACATGCAGCTTCTTGATGATCAAGATAGCATCGTTCAGAGAAATGCAGGTGTATGACTTTTTCTTCAACAAGTTTGAAGATTACAACTCTATTATTCTTATGTTGAAGGAAAAAGCAAACATGATTCGTCAGATGCAACAATTCAACGAAACTTCGTTTGCTTCATTCAACAACGAGGATGAGGAAGCTGAGTACACTCAACGTCATGCAGATACGGCGAGCAGCAATCAAGTTCCATACAATCCACAAGATGTTATGGAACCTTACAGACCGTATTGTTCACATGAAGTTCGCTACCTTCATACTTCATACTCTGCACCTGAAGAACGAAGTAGCGAGACTCCATATTGCATTGACGAACGGTCGTACTTTGCTCATCGCGAGAAGAAACACAACTATAGGTCAGGACCGTATCCCACGTGAGGCTAGTTCCAAAAAAAAAACAATGTTTTCGTTTGACTTGATAGTATGCACTTGCTTTTTGTTTATAATTTTATTAACATTAAATAAGATATTATAATTACACACATTATTATTTACATTATTATTTACATTATTATTTAAATACGTTATAATGTACATTTATTTATATGTAAAATACAAATATATTTTATAAATTAATTATAAAATATATTTATGCATTTTTATTTTTATGTAAATATAAGATATTCTTTATTTATATTATTGTTAATATAATCTCACGATTTTTATTTGTATATTTTTATTTTATGTAAAATATAAATTTAATTTATGTAAATATAAATTTAATTTATGTAAATAAAAAATATTCTTTATTTATATTATTGTTAATATAAATCTCGCGATTTTATCTATAGAATTTAATTTATCCATACATTTTATTCTATGTAAAATATAAAATATTCTTTATTTTGATTATTGTTAAAATAAAGAATCCCCGCATGGGGGGTGAATTTATCCATAGAATTTAATATCCATTTTTTTTCTATGTAAAATATAAAATATTCTTTATTTGAAATTACGTTAAGATATAAAATCCCGTGAATTTATTTGTAGAATTTAATTTTTTTTGAATTATCGTTAATATAAAATCTCGCGAATTTATCTGTAGAATTTATTTATGTAAATATAAAAATATTTTTCTTTGAATTAACGTTAATATAAATTTAACGAATTTATTTGTAGAATTTAATTTATATGTAAATATAAAATGTCTTTTATTTTGATTAACGTTAATATAAAATCTCGCGAATTTATCTGTAGAATTTATTTATGTAAATATAAAAATATTTCTTTTTGAATTAACGATATAAATCTCGCTGAAAATTCGTTCCCAAATTAAAATATTCTTTATTTGAATAAAACTCGCGAATTTATCTGTAGAAATTTAATTTATGTAAAAAATAAAATATTCTTTATTTTTGAATTAACCGTTAATATAAATCTCGCGAATTTATTGAGAAATTTTTGAATTATCGTTTATAAAATCTCGCGAATTTATCCATAATTTTTATTTCTTTATTTAGACATTAGTTAAATATAAATCTCAAAATATAAAATATTCTTTATTTCGCGAATTAATATTACAACGTTATCTTATTGAATAACGTTTAATTAATTAAATCTCGCGAATTCATTTGTAGACCTTTAATTTATGTAAATATAAATAATTTCTTATTTGAATTAACGTTAATATAAATCCCGCGAATTTATTTGTAGAATTTTAATTTATGTCAATATAAAATATTCTTTTATTGAATTAACGTTAATATAAATCTCGCGAATTTATTTGTAGAACGTTTAATTTTGTTGAATTCTCGTTACATATAAATCTCGCGAATTTTATTTGTAGATATTTAAATTTATGTAAAATATAAAATTTTCTTTATTGGAATTAACGTTAATAAAATCCCCGCGAATTTATCTGTAAACATTTAATTTTTGAATTATCGTTAATATAAATCTCGCGAATTTATTTGTAGAATTTAATGTTATGTAATATAAAATATTCTTTATTTGAATTATTAATTTAATATAAAATTCTCGCGAATTATACTGAAGAATTTAATTTTTGAAATTATCGTTAATATAAATCTCGCGAAATTTATTTGTAGAATTTAATTAAATATTTAAATATAAAATATTCTTTATTTGAATAAACGTTAATATAAATCCCGCGAATTTATCTTAGAATTTACTTTATGTTAAATATAAAATCTTTAATTTTCGTATTATTCGTTATTGATTATATAACGAATTTATTTGTAGACTTTAATTTATGAAATATAAAATATTTTGATTTTTGTTATAATCTGAGCATTCCATAATAAAATTTTTAATTATATCGTAGGTTTAAACATATAAAATTTCATTTATTTAATTAACGTTAATATAAATCCCGCGAATTTATCCATAGAATTTTAATTCTATGTAAAATATAAAATGCTTTATTGAAATTAACTTTAATATAACCCGCGAATTTATCTGTAGAATTTCAACTCATGTAAATATAAAATATTTTTTATTTGAATTACCGTTTAATATAAATCCCGCGAATTTATCTGTAGAATTTAATTTATGTAAAATATAAAATATTCTTTATTTGAATTAACGTTAATATAAATCTCGCGAATTTATCCATACATTTTATTCCATGTAAATATAAAATGTTCTTTATTTGAATTAACGTTAATATAAATCCCGCGTTTTATTCTATGTAAAATATAAAATATTCTTGTAATTAAAATATAAAATATATTTTGTTTGTAATAACGTTAATATAAATACCGCGTTTTATTTGTACCTTTTTATCGATGTAAATAATAACATTAATCTAATCATAATTATTATATAATATTATATTAAAATACTACTATATATTTTTTATAATAATATTATTATAAAAAATATAGAATTAATATATTTTTTTCTAAATTATATTAAAATGATTAAAAACTTTTTTACATTGTTAAAATTTATATGTACATCTTTACTATGGCCTATAAAAGGCCTCAGGCCTTAGCCTTGAGCCCCAAACTCCCACAACTTGTGAATCCCCAAACTGACATAGGACCTAGAGTAGGCCCTTATTCCCCTTTTTTAGGGTTTCGGGTTCCCTTATAAGCCCCTTTAAACCAAAAAGGGCATCCTTTTTATGCCTGGGTTACTCTTGGGTCTAGTAAGTCCGCAAAGGTCCCAAAGCCCGAAGAGCCCATAATAAGCTCTAGACCCTTATAAGCCCCAAAACCCCTAAACCCTTAAACCCTATACCCCTTAAACCCTAAACCCTTATAAGCCCTAAACCCTTAGACCCTATACCCCTTAAGCCCTAAACCCTAAACCCTTATAAGCCCTATAAACCCTTAAACCCTTAGACCCTATACCCCTTCAACCCTAAACCCCTTTAAGACCGACCTTAAGGAAGAGATCCGAGGCTCTTCGATCCTCAAAGGCTTTAGGGCTTAGGGGCAGGAGTGCTCCTGGCTTTTTCTGTGGCATTGGGCTTTCCTTCAGGCCAAGGGTAGAAGGAGGGACCCTCAATAAGGATTTCTAGGTATATACCCTTAATATAGCCACTATATACCCATTATGTAGCCCATTATAGGGTAGGGGTCCCCATTAAGGGTCCCTCCTTTTCCCCTTTGATTAAACTAAACCCTACACCCTATAGATCCCTTTAAAGGGACCCTTATAGATCCCTTTAAAGCAACCCTGAAAGCCTAAGAGCCCCTCCTTTTCCCCTTTGATTCAGGCTTTGCCACGCACCTCAGATCTTGCAATCGCTGCCGCATCACCTTCAAGCCGTCTGCCCTGGCTACGACACCCTAGACGCCCCACTACGATACTTATACTGTAGGAATATGCAGTGTAATACTTACCTATACTGTAGGAATATGTAGGAATATGTAGTATAATACTTACTTATACTGTAGTAATGAGTACTATAAGATTTTTGAAGATACTATACGATTCTATTGTCTACCCTCAATCCCCGCGCGCGATGCCTTAAACCTCGCCGCCTGAAAACAGGGGAAACCCTCTCAGTTCACTCTCCAGAGAACCACGAAATACTGGGTTCTTGTTAAGGAGTTTTATCTAAGTTACCATAATGGGATCTTTGGTCAATAACATGGTTTCTTCATTTTGGTAGCTTAGATTAGTTAATTCCCTTGGCAAGATCCCAGAATAAGCGCCGGTGTTTGGCACATTGCCAGACCGTTTACATAATGAGGTAGTAAATGTTTGCCGTCCGCAAGGTCTGGATCTTGGCGCTGGCCGGTCTTGCTGCGCTGGTGCTTTCGGCTTCCATTCAGGCTTCAGGGTTTAGGTTCAGGGAACCCCGAGCCCTTCAGCTCACATGGCAGGACCGTCAGACATGACATATCAAGACATGATATATGTAGCCATGCCTTGGCCTGTCATACCATAACATCGCATCACATTTACTGTGTCATATCATCTTGTCCTGAATGCCCTCACCAGTAGTAGGAAAGAGAGCAAAGGACATGCGAGTTGCTTAGGCGAGAACATGCATGCATATGACGTTGTATGTTTTGCTTCTTTACGCCGAGGTAATCTACCTTTGGCCCCTGGTCCAATGGCAGAGAGATCGGCAGAAGCGTGGTCAAGAGGAGGCGCGAACCGCAAGCGCCACCTCTGCCAAGGGGAACCTACCCTAAATAGTAAGATCTTTACTATAAGGACCCCAAAGTATTATGGGAAGCCTTAAGAAACCCAAATGGTCTGACGTCAAAGGATCTCAAGAAACAAAACCTGAAACCCAGGGCCTCAACGGCTCTTTATAGATGTTTGCAGCCAGATGCCCCCTTCTCATGGCTGCATCCGCTGTAGATCCGGGCAGCACCGCATGTTCTTTCGTTCATATGGCTGAGCCGTCCCTGTATCACACACTAAGTCACTAAGTCGTACCAATGTTACTGTTGTTTGCTGATCTTATCTTAGCATTCTGTCAATGCGGTGCACCTGGTCGGTTGTACTGCGTGCGCTCCATATTTTTCATATCCAGTTGTATCATAGTGGTAGGTTCAGTGGGTGGGCTAGTCTTGCAGGACTCCATAGTGCGACTGCTATCATTGGCTATCATCGCTTTTGTGATTGCTATAGCCTGGTGTTTGCTCGGCACTGTCAGTATCCCAGTGGCAAACACCTGTATGCCGAGCAGCTCTATCTCCATCGCGGTTTTCGTCACTTCTTGTAACCCAGTGGAGAAAGGTCAGTGCACTTTAAAAAAACCCAAAACTCTAAACCCCTATAACCCTAAACCGATACTTCCGTGACACTCTCAACTCCAACCCGCGACCCTCAAACACCACCCTGAAGTCTCTCAGCACGCCCTTAATCTGAGTCCCTACTCCTCTCAACCTGAGACACTCGCACCCTTCCGATACCCTCGAGATCAAATACATCCTTAAGATCCTATATCCATAGGCCCTAAACAACCCTACACCCTTAACCCCAAACCCTAAACCCTAGAAGCCCTGTTAACCCCAACAGCCATCCCAGGCCTCGGCTCTTCAGAGAGCGCGGCTCGCCAAGTTCTGCTCCGCAGAACCAGAGCCCACGCCGCGGCGTCGGAGCCCTTCGCGCGACCGGGGCTCCGGATCCGGCGGTGGAGGGAGCTCCTTGAAGGATCGCAGTGTGTTTGGGGCTTGTCTAGCCATTGATATTGGGGGAGCTAAGGAGCCAGGGATGATGATAATCCCTAATAAGGAGCTAAAGAGCCAAGGGAAACCCCAAAACCACTGGTTAGTTGTTGTAAGGGGTTTAGGGTATTGGCGGTAGTGGGCCTGGGATTACAGGATGTTAGGGTTGCGGGGTGGGACGATTCCTGCTACCATCCCTTCTTCTACTGCTTGAGAACCAAAACTCAACCAACAAGTCTGAGTTCCAGGAGTTTGCGGTGCCGCCTGTGGCCGCGGGTCGTGGCACCGGGACCGAGATCTTGGCTGAGGCGGAATTGCAGGAGGACGTGCACCAGGACGTGCAGCAGGAGTTGCAGCCGGACACTCGGGAATTCTGTAGGGTGCCAGAGGGCTTCGATGCTAAAGTCGTGAGTCCAAAATACAAGGATCACCGCTTTTTGGTTTTGCGCTGAGGTGTACGATTGGGGAATAGGGCTTGGGTCATCCTAGAGTCCTAGAGTCTTCAAGCCAAGATTGGACAGACAACGCCCGAAGCCCAAACCATAAACTCCTGAAGCTCATGCACGCTGCAGCCTGGCCGAATCCCGGTATGGCTACAGGGATAAGAATAAGTGTATCAACAATAACAACAATGATGTTAGAGGCACTCTTTGCCGTCAGTACAGATAGTGGTGCACAGTTTACAGTTACAGTAGATGATATTAGTAATTAGAGTAAATGGTATCAGTGAACTTCGAAGCCCAGCCGCTCATGGCACGGCCACTGTAGGTCTGACTCCTCCCCAGACGCCTTCGAGTATCCAGCAGCTCCGCAGGCGACGGGGCATTCATGAAAATTAAGGTTCCTTTTCCTAAGGTTCCACAAGGGTTCTCTAAGGCTTCTATAGAATTCGAGGATTCTAGTTTCGGGCTTCCACAAATGTTTTCTAAGGCTTCTACGAGCGTTCTCCGAGGATCTCGAACAGCTTGGGGGTTCTTTGCTGCTTCAGTGACTTATATAGTAAGTCGGTGTACAATACACGTAATAGATAGGTACAACTATATGTGAATATACCCTCAGTGAAGGCATTTCTGAACCTTCTTGGGAGGTCCCCTGAACCCGTAAGTAGACACACTTGGGATTTTGATAAAATTAGGGGACACCAATGTAGTACCCTAAATAGTAGGATCCTTATTAAAAGGAACCCCAAATAAGGTACCCCTATTTTCGGAAGCCGCTACTTGTCTAATAGGTTTCATGTTCGTGAGACCTCGGTCATTTCCAGACTTGCAGAATTCGTGAGATTCGATCGCTTGAATACCCAAACCCTGAACCCTGAACCCCAAATCCTGAACCCTGAACCCTAGGGTAAAAAGGAGCTAAAAAAAGAAACCCTGAACCCTAGACCCTTGAGAAAGCCTTGAAAGGAGGAGGCAACGGGCCACGAGCCGTCGACCCCCAAAGAGCGCTCGGAGGGGGAGCCGTCCGAGGCGCACAGTGGAGGCTGGCGGGGGAAAGACGCGGAGATGGAAAGCACCGAAGTTTCAGAGGGGTCGGGTTTGCGGCGGTTTGGAGGTTTAGGGTTTGGGGCTTGGAGTTTAGGGGCTTGGGGGCGGTTTGGGGGTTCAGGGGTCTAGGGGTTCGGGGGGTTTAAGGTTTGGGGTTTTACGGTACAGAGCTTTAGGATTGTTTGGCTTTGGAGTTTAGGGCTTTAGGGGTTCTGGGCAGGACCAGGGCTTAGGGTGAGACCTGCCGAAAACCTGCCGAAGGTCAACCAGAAGCGAGCGATAAGGAAGAGGCCGACGAAGACGACTTCCCCTGGTGCGAGCCTTAGTCACCGGGCGATATAGAGTAAGAGAGAAGGAGAGAGGAAAACAAAAAGGGCTGCACTGTCAACCGGGGCTGTGCGGCATGAACTCTGTGACCTTAAACCAACCCGAAAACTCCAAGCGCCATGAGCCAAAAGCCCTTCACAGATAATCCGCAAACACATCACAATTCAAGAAGCCCTCAGCCTGATAGGTGCTATAGTAAACCCAAGCCCGTGAAGTCCTCGAAGTTCCTTGAAGCCCTTGAAGACTAGGCACTAAACCCTCGAAGCCCTAGATGCCCTCAGCCTGAACCCTGAACCCCGAACCCTAAACCCGAAACCCCTTATGTCAGCTTGGGAGGATCGGGCAGGCATAAACAGGAGTTCCAAAAAAACCCGAAACCCCTACACCCTAAACTCTCAAAACCCCAAGCACCTAAACCCTCAAGTTCTAAGCCCCCGAATCTTGCCCAAAACCATCCCAGGCAGCCTACGGAAGCCGTTCCCCCCGTCTTCCAGGCTGTTGCTCAGTGACCGTCTTAGGGTCCTTTTTCAGGGTGCCGTCCTTTTTCTTCCTCTGCGCTTCAGTACCAGCGAGGCGATTTGGAGATCCCAGCCGCATCGTGTGAGATCATCCCCTACATAGAGCATGCTGGGTTTCTTGAAAGAACGAGATACTTAAATTTAAGGGCATTCACTGCTTGTTTGCGTCTTCGACGTTAGTGCTCCCATTTCGGAAAGTTGCGTATATCTCGTTTCACCTTCTGCGCTAGGTCGGGGTGCTATCGCATTGCAAGTACTACAGAAGCTGGAGGGATGACTTGGCCCTAAACACGACAACCTTGAACCCTGTATCCTAAGCCCTACAGCCTTAAACTGAACCCCCAAACCCCGAACAAATCTCCTCAACTTCAAAGCCCCTAAACCTTAAACCTGAACGATCCCTTACTACAAGTTTCTTAACAGCCCCAGACAACCTCTAAACTCTAAACCCTAAATCCCTAAACCTCTAAACTCTAAACCCTAAATCCCTAAACCCTTAAGCCCTAAACCCTTAAGCCCCTAAACCCTCGTGGAGACTGTCGAGGATATTATAGTGGGGTGTCGGACCCTAAACCTCTAAACCCTCAACCCTATACCCTACATACCCTACATCCTAAACCAAATACCCTACATACCCTAAACCCTACATACCCTAAGCCCTAAACACTACATACCCTAGACCCTAAACCCTAAACCCTTAACCCTAAACCCTTAACCCTTAACCCTACATTGGACAGACCCTAAGCCCCAAACCCTCAACCCCGAAGAAAGGCTGCCAGCAGCCGGCGGAGCCTGGCCCAGGCCTTGGACGCCGCCGCGTCGGACTGGGGTGGGATTTTCGCCGCGTGTAGGGCTCGGGGAGTATTTAGGGTTTAGGGTTCAGGGGTTTAGGGCTTTCGGATTTAGGGGTTTAGGGGTTTAGGGGTTTAGGGTTTAGGGTTCAGGGGTTTAGGGTTCAGGGTTCAGGGGTTAGGGGTTTAGGGTTTGGAGGTTTAAAGGGTTTAGGGTTTAGGGGTTTTAAGGGCTTGGGGAGTTTAGGGAGAGGTTCTAGGTTCCTGAGTAGTACCCTGTTGCCCTTTTTTTATATTAAGGACCCCTTATTAAACCGGATAGTAAGAAAAAGGGTACCCTTGTTATAAAGGGGCTACTCAGGAACCCAGGGTTCGAGCATGTTTGAGCTCCCAAACTATTATCAGGGTCGGAACAGGCAGCAGCCGTATCCCCTTCTGGTCTCCATCGGCTC